TTTCTCATGTTACTTTTATGACAGAGCATGTCAAGCCTTTTTTAAAAAAGTTCTATTTAATTTTGTTTTAAATCCTTGACATAATGCCAGTGTCTTTTCATCAACAAATCTTTAGTATGAATGAGTTTAGTCAAGCAGAATGAGCTTTATTCTTCTGTCTCCCACTGTATCCCATAGCCAAAGTCTACATGCCACAATAAATAATATTTATTGAATGTGATGTAATTTGTGGATGTAGAACAGATTTTTCTTATTTACACTTGAATCCATACATGTTATCATAAATATAATTTAATCGCTGTCTACAAGTGATGCAATGTTTTATTTTGGGATTGTCTTTCTAATGATTACTCTTCTGATAATCTTTATAGTTGCACTCCATGCTCAATAAATCCATAATTCTACATAAAGTGATAAGATCCAGGTTTTTTATATGTAATTTAAAGGTACACTTACATCAGGGGTGTCAAACTCAATTTCATTGAGGGCCGCATCAGCATTGCGGTTGCCCTCGGGGGGGATGGGTGGGTGTGGCCAGGGTGGGTGTGGCCTACTGGGTGGGCATGGCCAGCTCTACATCATTCCCGTCAAGGGTGCCTGTGGGGGCCTGGGCAGGAGTGGGACAGATCTGAGGGTCTCTAGCAGAAGGGGGTGGGACCGGGGCAAGCGCCAAGACATGGTCCATTTCTTCATTCCTCACAAAGGGTGACACCTCCCCAGCATAGACAGAGGGGGCGGGGCCAACATGGCAGGGGCTGGTTCCTCGCTGTTTCTAGACGGCCTTGTGGAGCTAAGACTGAATGTGTTTCAGCATAGATGGCCACCACAAAATTGTACATTGGCTCCTCGCCGGCCTGGGCCAGGGCCAAGGCAGCGGGGGCCATTCCCTCACTGTTTCCAGGATGGCTTCGCGGGCCACACGAAACCACTTCGCAGGCCGCATGCGGCCCCCGGGCCTTGTGTTTGACATGTCTGACATGTTTAAGCTATATTGATTCTTGCATTGGAATATTAACAAACCTATGGATATTAAACCCAAATGTGATAACAAACGCATAAGAGTAAGTATCCCCTCACCCATTTTAAAACTCCATCATAATGTGATTGACAGCCAGCCCTTTTAAAATATTGAAACATGACAAACAACACGGGTAGTCCTTGATTTACAACCTGCCATTTATTGATCTTTCATATCTTTAACAGAGTAGGTGTTTTATAGCCTCTGGCTGTTGTAAATGATTGCCCCCTACCACCCTCACCCCTGCAGTTACATGACTGCATTTCTGGCACTTGGCAACTTGTTCGTATTTACGACTGATCACCAAATGCTTTGCAATTATTTGATCGCCACTTGCAATCTGGAGTTTGACCCCCACAGGACTCACAAAGTCCTACCTTTCTGTCCTTCCAAGGTTGGTAAAATAAGGACCCAGATCGTTGGAGGCAATATGCAAATAATGCTTCAACATTGCAAACTATCCAGAGAGTGCTGTAAAGCGCCATGGGGAGGTGTATAAACCCAAAAGCTATTGCTATCATAAAAAAGAAAAAAAAATGAAAATATAGGCAATCTGTATTTTTCATGGCAATAATCAGTGATAGTATTAATATCCCTACTTGCTCACAATTTTAAATAAAAGTTTACCTGAACATTTCAAACTGGGATTATATTACTACTTATTGCTGTCATGCTGACTTCGATATAGATTCCTCAGGAACAGTAAAAAAACAGAAACAATGCTATATGGGGCTGACATGCACGGGATGCCTGCTGGGGTCATCCTTGCCCCCATTTCTTGCTCCACACCTACAAAAAAGCTGGTCATTTATTTTGAGTATTGGGCTGCAAAACTCCAAAAGGCCATTAGAATTGCCATTAGAAGGCAATCAAGATATACTGTACAAGAAAAATATTCTTACTGTCCTCTAGGGGTCATTCTGAGGTTAATGAAGATAGCTGCAGTTCAGACCAAAAAAAGCAGAGTTTTGCTGGAGTTGCCATATTGACCTTTTTTTTTTTTTTGCCATTTCCTGCAATCACCCTTGAGAGGGAAAGGCCTGTTTTGGGTCACTGAGGCAAGGAGAGTCTCATAGGAGCCCAACCTCCATTGCTGTGGCCACAGTGGGAAAGAAGGGGCCAAGTAACCCTCATCTTTTCTTTCTCCATAGCCTGGCTATGCCAGATGCTTGAACTTTTTTATCCGTATAGAACCCATTGGGAAAGTCTACCTTGGGCCTCCACAGCTTTCTATATTAGCCCAGAACTTACAATATTATCCAGAAGAATATTCTTGACAATTCTTGAGAAGCACATGAAAATCAGACATTGATGAGATAGTCATGTGTGGCAGTAATTAATATTTTAACTGAATTTTAAATTGTATACTTATATTTAAAATGTACCAAGTCTGAGATAACCACAGGGACTGATAAGATCTGTCATTAAAATGGTCAATCTTACATATTTTGAGGGACCCATGGTAGCACAAAATATGAATGCAACCTTGACGTTAATGCATGATAAAAGTGTCAGATAATCCATGTATTTATAGCTTGAGAGTGTACTCCAGCTTTACCTGTCTAGGCAATAGGCTTCTTGAAATTGTGCTATGTCTCTTTGTGTTACTTTTGAGAAGGACTATAGAAATGTTCTCTTCTTCTTCCAAATGTGATTGTATCTTTTTATGTTCAAAGGCATCGGCCTTTGGTGCATTTCAAAAACCTTTCGAATCCTCATTCCAACATCCAGACCTTCTCTTGAGTTTTGTGAATGGATTTTTAAAAAACATTTTATTAATATTTTGAAATAATAACATGTTTGTAATTATTCTATATAATTCTGTGTTAATTATGCTTTATCAAAAATGTTCATATACCACTTCGAGATGTTTTTGATATGGGCAGCTCCATACAAAATAGATAAAGTAAATAAGTACTGACCAACTGTCTTTTAGATTAAATGCATTTTTCAATACCATTATGCTTGGCTGGCATTCTCTCTCTCTCTCTTTTTGTTAAGGTATGGAGGAAGTTTGATTATTCTGCAATGTTCCAAACAGGTCAGCAGAGTGAAAGCCAATTTTAAAATATTTTATTCTAGTGAAATATAATATGCTTCATTTTGCAGATTTTGACAAACCAGAGAGCAAAATGCTTGTTGTTTCTTTTCATTTGACTTGCGTTAGTTAATATATTTCCTGTTGACTTCTGGTCACTTCTCTGCATATTAGCAAGCACTCTCTAAAGAAAACTTCTGAAGAAGGTCCAAATAATAATAATAATAATAATAATAATAATAATAATAATAATAATAATAATAATAATAATAATAATAATAATAATAATAGTAAAGTTAGAAGGGACCTTGAAGGTCATCTAGTCCAACCCCCTGCTCAGGCAGGAAACCCTATACCATTTCGGACAAATGGCTGTCCAGTCTCTCCTTAAAAACTTCCAGTGTTGGAGCATTCACTGCTTCTGGAGGCAGGTTGTTCCACTGGTTAATTGTTCTCACTGTCAGGAAGTTTCTCCTTAATTCTAGATTGCTTCTCTCCTTGATTAGTTTCCACCCGTTGCTTCTTGTCCTGCCTCCAGGCACTTTGGAAAATAGCTTGACTCCCTCTTCTTTATGACAACCCCTGAGATATTGGAACACTGCTATCATGTCCCCCCTCGTCCTTCTCTTCATTAAACTAGACATACCCAATTCCAGCAGCCGTTCCTCATATGCTTTAGCCTCCAGTCCCCTAATCATCTTTGTTGCTCTTCTCTGTACTCTTTCTAGAGTCTCAACATCTTTTTTACATCGCGGTGACCAGAACTGGATGCAGTATTCCAAGTGTGGCTTACCAAGGCATTGTAAAGTGGTATTAACACTTCATGTGATCTTGATTCTATCCCTCTGTTAATGCAGCCTAGCACTGTGTTGGCCTTTTTGGCAGCTGCAGCACACTGCTGGCTCATATTTAGGTGATTGTCCACTAGGAGTCCGAGGTCCCTCTCACAGTTACCGGTACTACTATTGAGCAAGATGCCACCTATGCTGTACTTGTGCATTTGGTTTTTCTTGCCTAAATGTAGAACCTTGCTTTTTTCACCATTGAATTTCATTTTGTTAGATAATGCCCAGTGTTCAAATCATCTTCATGCTGATATACTCAGAAAAAGCATCCCCTATTTACAGTAAAAAGTTAACTAAACTAAAAGTTAACTAAACGTTAGGCCATGCTGGAACAACAAAATGTCTCCAAACTAGAATATCTCTAATTCAAAGCTATAGGAAACAGCTGAAATCTTGAGTGGATCAAAAATTGTAATCTTTAATGTAGTCAATGGGGAAATTATTAAATTCAAGTTGCCTTAGTCACTGTGTTCAAATATTTTAACTTAATGTTAATTAAATATAAATCTAATCTACCAACCAGATTCACTTTTTTGGAATACAGCATCTGGGACATCTGTCAGAGACTCACTTTGAGCTTTAGTTTATGAAAGACTCTTGGATTATGATATGGCAGAAGCATCTTCCACACTGCTAGAAGCCCCAGTGAGCTTGGGTGCAAGCTCAACACATTTTAGGCAAAATGTGCCTTTTGTGTATGATGCCCAATGGCAAACTGTAAAACAGGATGATGGAGTTCTTATGCTTATTCCAGTTTTTTTAGAGCCTTCTGTGTTGGCCAGGAATTTATAGGAGTTAAATCCAGGACATCTGAATGAAGCTCATTCGAGAAGACTGATCTGACAGGATGGGACAGGACAAGACAGGAGAGGACAGGACAGGACAGCTGTCTAACAAAATATGGATGCTAAATATCCAAGAGTGTTGGGTTCTCGATCCTTTTAAAAGATGAATTGCTTTTGGATTTGGGGTGTGCATAAGAAATTCATCACCTACAGACATTCTCTGTCCATCTCAATTTTTTACAGTTTAAATCGTAAGGCATTTTATAAGTGACAGAGGGTAAAACGAACAAAACACAAGTTTTTTTTATTGCTGGTGAATTCAAACAGGCAATTTTAATTTATGGAGGAGGATACACATACAAGCAAAAATTTAACTGAGTTATTTCATTATTATGCATTTCAAGTGCCAGTGTATCCTCCACTGCCTTTTGGTGACTATTATCAATAATATAACTGTCATTAATAATCCAGTAATAAAACATCAGTAGTTTGGTTCTTTCCCCACCACCTCCACATCCATTTGAATTGAAAAAAAATAAAAGAAACATAAATAAATTAAAAGTGAAAAATCTCTGGCTACTAGTAAGTTGATTTCCTTTAGACCAGAAATGAGATCTGCACAGCCTGGCTAATAAGATAACCTGGAGAGAATTTGGCATTGAATTAAAGGAAATTTACCCAGTCAATGAATTATCTGATGGATGTTGAATGGCAATATTCCCTGACCTGGTACCTCCAGACATGCTACCTGGGGATTTGTCCAATGCATCTCAAGCACACCAGGTTAAAGAAGATTTCTGCATCAACAATATTAACAATTAATAGCTCAGTCTAGATTCTGGCATACACATTTTCTGTATTTGTGCATGGAAATATTTGTGCACAATATACCAAAGAAAATGACATCAAATAAGTTTTAGAAGTGCTAAGGTAACAAAGGAAAATGCAACACATTTGCAGAATGTCATAATTATTGACCCACTATGAAACATCAGGTAATTTAGAATCAGATTATTATCTTCAATCCCTAAAGAACATAGAATTGTATTACAGTATTGTCAAATGCAGGGAAATGGTATTACCAGTACAAAAATCCAACTCCTTTGTAGTCAGTAATTTTACTATCTTTAACCTTCATTTAGTGCACTTGTAATGCAAGAGTCCAACATGATGAATGGATAACATCATCATTAATTGTAGCATGATTTCATAAACTTCAAGTGTACCAAGAATACATATCTTCAAGTAATGGCCAGACTGAAGTTCTCTAGCCTTTTCCAAGGCTTCACAGATGATGGTTACCAGAAAGTGCAAATGTGGCCCATTTCCTGCCACATGTAAAAGAAATATGATTCACTCCGCTATCTTATTTTTTTAGTATGGATAGCCATCATTGCAAGGCTAATAACAGAGGTTTCTGCTCTGCATGGTCCCTCCCTTTCCTGAAACATAGTTTGGATCAGAAGCGATTAAAACTAAAAAAAAGGAAGAATTATAAGAATTTTTATATAAATTACAAAGTTTAATCCTGTTAAGTGTGTCAGGAGAATAAATACAGTAGGGCAGACCTGGGAATACTTCCACTGCTAATATTCCTGCTCATCCACTACCAGCAATGGATATCAGGTCTGTGGGGAAATGTAAAGAAATAAAATAATCACTCTCTGAAAATATCAATCAAGTTAATATTACCTTCGTTCTTAATCATGACCACATAACATTTACTCAGGGTAGCAGCTTGCCCGCTTTGTTGTTCCTACAATAGAACTCAACCTTTCCAAATCTATTGCCATCAGGGCTATAAGTAGCAAGGTTCCCTGGCAGTGCAAACTGGGGGCAGAGAGTTCTTCAAATGGTGGTCCTAACCTATCAGGTGAGCAGATCTACAATAAAATAACTGCCAGATAGTTAAAAATTAACAGTTGTCTACCAAACAGCAAGACAGTCTTATTTTAAAGAAAAGAGGTGGTGCCACCACAAAAGTACAAGCCCATTCTGTTGCTGGTGCAATTCCATCTCAGGGCATTCCGTTCTATGCAAATGATATCTGGACTTCTTTCTGGTCCAAGAAGCCTAGTGATAGCATATCTTCTTAAAGCTATTGGATGTATTTAGTTCAAGTGACTCCCTTCTCTTTTTTCATTTCTCTTTCATTCTATGAACCTAAAGAACAGATTCTTTTGATGGCTTCCAGAAAGAACCCCTTCTTGTTCATTGCTATTTCTTCTTTAGCTGTCCCTGCATATCACATATTTCTCTTGGGACATTCACTTTGGTCCCTGACTCCAGAATATCTGCAGCCCTTTTGTGTTGTTTTCCACTCACTTGAACCATCTTGAAGGATGATCCTTCAAAGTTCCTCCCCAGCAAACATCAACAGTTGCTCATAAATAGCTTTATGAAGAGATATTGCTGCACTACTAATTCTACCATTTGTGCATTGAGAACACCACCGCAGAGAAGATCAATACAAAAAAGATTGACCACAGGCCTTTCAAGAGTCTGTCCTGCAGGATTTCCACTCCCAATTAATCCAGGCATCAAACAAAGATTTCAATGTGATGTCAATAGTCCATATTTATAGACACTTGGATTTATGAGATTAGAAAATTCCCCCTGGAAGAAGCCAGAGAAGATTTGGATGATGTAAACAGTCACAATGAAAGTTAGCAAGAATCAGCTCTGAAGGAGCCCTCCTGTTGAGTTCCACCAGAAAGTGTGAGAGGAAGAGGTAGAGATGACTTTAGCCATTTTTCTCCTACTTTTTTGCCTACATGTCTATAATGCAGGTTGTACAGCAATGATTGACTTTATCCAGCAAAATAGTTCTTTATTTAAAAAATAGGTACATGAGAGTGGGAAACACTCTAGTGAGCGTCAGAATAGATGATTCAAAAAGTAATATTTTTATAGAAATTCAGCAGGATGCCCAGCACCATAATATTATACACTGTGGTGCAACTTAAAAAAGCCTTAAGAAAAGTACACAACAGGGCAAGTTCTATCTCCACAGTAGTGTGCCACTTTGTTGGGCTGTTTCAACAGGAATTGATTTTTCCTTGACTCTGCAGCATCTCAGGTCCCATGGGAGGTATTGGTTGCAAGCAAGCACCTGAATGAAATATAAGCCAATTCTAAGTCAACTGGGGATATCTGTGGCTATCTACTAATGTTATTTGAACAATTTGGGCCAGCCTTTTGTTTTTTCTAACCCAGATATAATAAAGTATTGATCACAGAATTGTTTTCAGAGTAAGTTACAAGTCAAACTATCTAGTCAACAGGTAGTTGACAATGATACTTGCAGGGTTGTTGTTTTGTTTTTTTTAAAAAAAGGAACCAAGAGAAAGAAAGAGAATAACATTCATAGAAAACCTACTGATTCCACTTTTTCATGCATACCTCCAAACCCAGGAGGTTTGTTTATCGTAAAGGAAACAGGAGTTTTGCTGTTGAGGCCATCATCCCAAGTCTCTAATGAAGGGGCAGGAGCGATTGCTTAGTCTTAGCGTAGTCTAAAGTACAATTCAGTTAGTTTTCACATGACCATTGGCCAAAGTTGCAACAGATGTGGGTACACCTGGTTCAGCATTCTCATCAAAACGCAAACGCAGGGTGTTCCTGATGACTAGCTGTTCCATGATAAATGCTGCACAGAACCATGGGATAGCATACTCCAGGGTTATGAGGCCCATGAAGTTCAAGTCAAACTGTGAATAGTCCCATGGGCAGGCATTAAACTGGCGTAGAATGAAGCCAGTTGTGAACTCCCAAAGATACGTCCATAGAGTGTAAATCAGGCAGCGTACTAGTATGTTACACTTATCCTTCAGGTATAGATACATCTTTTCTACAATGAGGATGGACGTCCCATAGATGAAGAGTGCCCATACACTGGTGACACCTGGGAACTTCCAGTTGAAGTTGACCACAAACTCCCAAGCAGCTGTGAACATCACCTCGCAGAAGTAGCCATGAATGGCATAGAGGTACCAACGGGAGAAAGCAGTCAAAGGTTCTGCAGCTGCCATCCTTCCACACAGTCCCCAGCAGGAACTCTGCAAGAAAACACACCCAGGGAAATAAAACCATTAATGTTACCAAAGCCAGCTCTTGAGGTATATATACAACATGTATCATGCAATAGGTAGCCAAAAGGTGTCCAGATCCTAATATCACTGGCTAAAGAATAGAATAAAAACTGGAGGCAACCGGCAAAAATTAGAAAATGGGAGGAGTACCTGCTTTAGGTTTAAATTTAGAGATGAGCTGCACTTCAGGTCTAAAACCTCAAAAGGATTTCTGAACAGTTATGGATGCTACAGATATCGGTGCCTCCCTAGAAACAGCATCTTTTTTGGGGCTCCCACAGTAGATACACAACCCTAGAAAAATGTATGTTTTAAATTAAGGAAGCACTAACACTCAGATATGCCTGCTCCAGTTCCATAGCCAAATGTTTAATTTACATTTAGAACCAAAATATAATTTAATGCATTGCCAGTCTGCAGTTTAGAGACTTTTATCCTCTCTGCAGGATACATAATAATAGTATTTGGGCTCATACAACACATAAGCCCAAAACCAAACAACCATTTTAAGGTTTAACATATTGATTAATCAGACTGCTTAGCCAAGAGTTTTATATAGCTCTAATCCAAATAGAAAGCTTAACAGAGGACTGGAAATGAAAGAAAGACAGGTGAAATACCAAAGAATAAAAAAGTAGTGAAAATGACACAAGTATTATACAGTTTAGTAAGAGAGGGCAACAAAAAATAATAGGTCAGCATATATATATATATCAAAATGATAATTTGGCTAGATGAATGAGGTCCATTTTTACTCACCCTTTGCCCTTAAATACTCATATTTCCCCTCCGATTTTTCAAATTCTTATTCTAATATATTTAAATTGATTTGATATCAAGAATGAAGAGCAAATGACACTGAAGAAACAAAACATACTACAGAAGTTCTCGACTTACAACCACAATTAAGCCCAACGTATCTGTTGCTAAGTGAGACATTTGTTAAGTGAGTTTTGCTCCATTTTACGACCTTTCTTGACACAGTGGTTAAGTGAATCACAACAGTTGTTAAGTTAGAAATCCAGTTGAAACCTGGTTGTTAAGTGAATCTGGCTTCCCCATTGTCTTTGCTCGTCAGAAGGTTGCCAAAGGTGATCACACTGCAACCGTCATAAATATGAGTCAGTTGACAAGTGTCTGAATTTTGATCGTGTGACCATGGTGATGCTGCAATAGTTGTAAGTGTGAAAAAGTGTTATAAGTCACTTTTTCAATGCCATTATAACTTTGGTCACTAAATGAAATGTTGTAAGTCAAGGACTACCAGTAAGCACTTGGCAACAGTGATACTGTCTGCTTTGCAGATGGCCTGGTGGAAATATGGAATCTTAATAATAAAATGGATTTAGATCAGTTTCAACCAAATTAAATCCCTCCCATCTATGCCTATGTTCATCAGCTACTATCCTCAACTCCAACCCACACTCATACACACATATATAGATACAGTGCAAAGATTCATTTCAGGTCCAACATACTTGACCTTACTGTGTTCTTGCTCAAATCAAGACTTTGTATTAACTCCAAATAAAAATATTTAGAGAACCCTTCAGTAACACTGAAATGTATAGTGCTCTGCTATTGATGGTCAAAGTGGCAGTGTCTGTACCTGTTGATGAAAGGGAATCATATGTAGAAGACATTCTACGGTATAGTGAAAAATGCCATATTGTCGATGCCAGCTGGGGTGGTCTTCCTAGTTCCAACCCAGCCCTCTAGCCACTGCATTGTACCAACTAACTCCATCTGTGGAAGCCAAGGGCTATCCCACCATGAATGACCTGCTGTGACCTTTCATCAGGCTGCAGGGCAGAGAGAGAGAGAGAGAGAGAGAGAGAGAGAGAGAGAGAGAGAGAGAGAGGTCAAGGCCATAGCATCAGCATTGCTGAGGAACCAATGCTGTGGGCTTCTCCTCTACCTGGACTGTTTACATCCCAGTGGTTTTATTAGGATTTTGTAGCAGTTGCTAGGTCCAAGTTTACTGTTTTCTTCCTCTCTTGCAATTCTTTTTCTTTTTTGCATCTCTCAGATTACAAATTTCAGAGTGAGGATTTTTTAAAATTCATTTTGGAAAACCACTTTGGAAAGCTTTTACAGTAAAAAAAACAGGGCTGAAATGTTTTGCCCAAATAGGCTTGTATTTTATGTCAGACACTTCTGAGAGAAAACAGGGTTTCCATCCCCCAGGGAAACCTGTCCTTCCAGGAAGATGAGACAGAGCAGGGCTGCTGGGAAGAAAGAAGACAAATGGGGCCAGGAAGACCAAGCTTAATGACCTGCTGAATTAAAATATTCACTTTTGTATTTATTTTTGTCAGTTGTGCTAGAGCCTCTACATTTTACATCAGGAGAAGAGCATTTGTTACATCTGTGGGGCATGCTTAAATAGAAAGGCAGTACTAGTACCTACTTGGTATCAAAGGGCTCTCCATGTGAGATGAAGACAATGCTGTTGGCATTCTGCCTTTGCCTGTTCTATAGTAGTAATAAAAAAGAAAAATCAACCCCCACAATGAGACATTTTCAGGCCAGTATCCCACTTTAGGCCTCCTGAATGTGGCACATTATCCCCTGCTCCCTAGGCTGGATCCTACTCAGCCTTTTTGAGTCTTGTGAAGTTGTCATCGATGAAGTCATAAAAGAATTTTTGCTGACCTGGGAATAAAGTAGGTAAGAGCATATTTAAAAGTAATAGTGGGGGGAAGGCAGTGTCTATGTCTTCATGCCCAGCTGTGCCAAAAGGTATAAGTTCTCGGTGACTTTTATGACATTCAGGGCAAGCCACGGCATGCTGTTCTACTCCACCAGTAAGGTTCTTTTTTCTCTGTTCAACAGTCAGCTGCACAATTATTGCAAAACTCTTCCTGAAAACATGCATGTTCAGTTGGAAGAAATGATGTATATAATACAAAAAAATACAAAAATATGAACTAAAAAGTAGATGGGGAAAAATACCACAGGCTCTGCTAATTGGAATTATGGGCTTAGGTAGCCCAACGCATCTAGAGAGTTCTGTGTCGAAGAAGGCTGTTATAGAATATGTTCAAAATATTTTTCTACTTATCAAAACTCCACAGCAATATGTAGTTTAAAATAAGATTGCAGTAATAGAATAACCTGAAGTAAAATTTAAAAAGACATGGAACTTTCTTTGTAACCAGTGTGAAAGCACAGCAAAATATTGCAGATTTTATTGCCTATTAAACATTCAGTCAATTGGTACCAACCAATTATTATTATTATTATTATTAGCTCCTGCTACAAAAGGAAGACAAAAGTAAACATGTCTCACATACAAATCAACTTATACTTTTTGTGTGATGGGATATATCACAGGTCCTTTGATGAAGAATGCAAATTGCTGAAGGAGGCTCTTCAGATATCCTAATTATGTATGTAAGAGCCATTTGGATGTAGTAATTAAGACATTGAATTAGGAGACGGTGAGTTCTAGTCCAACCCTAGGCATTAAGCCAGCTGGGTGGCCTTGGCCCTGTCACTCTGTCTCTCAGTCCTAGGAAGCAAATTATGAAATCTTGCCAAGAAAATGGCAGGACTATTCCAAGCAGTTACCAGGAGACAACAATGATTCAAAGACAAAAAGAAAAAAAAATCAACCACTATCTGTGAGTGTGTTAAAGTAACCTAAGCAAGAGCTAATTAATGCATGAATCATTATGCCTGGATCCACTGCTTTAAGGGAAAGGACGCAATTGGAGTATAAGCCATTTGGCCCTCCAAAAACAGAACTTGCAGAAACAATGCCTTCATGCACCCAGTAAGTCTAAACCTCATTCAATAGTGACCTATTCGTATTAATAAAATCCTTTCTCATTCTCCTGCCAACAGAACACTCAATTAAGCAAATATTACATTTTACTGTATGTGTAAAGACAAATATAAATGAAGTCAATTCATATTTGTCCCAGAAACTATGAGATCCCGAGCTATTTCAAATCTGACAGTAATTTGACATGCAATGAAATTAATTGGAGGGAATTCAATGTTCAGTTCTGGGACCAGCTTCATTAGTTTGGGCAGGGAGACTGCTAGGCAACAGAATAGATGGTACATCAAAGGTAGCTAACTACTCTATCACCAAATTCAAATCTTGTTTTAAGTCTGCAAATGAGTTAAATTTATCAATGCAACTCAACAACTTTACCAACAGGATCTGTTCTGCTCTGGTATTAGGAAACTCGGAATAGTATAAATGCAAGAGAATGTATATGTAGATTTTACCAACTTAAACTTTCTCCTTAATTAGGGTTCTTTTCTGTTCATTAGGGTTCTCCTCTCTGATAGCATCTTGCTACTACGGTACCTATCATCATCTTTACCTCCTCCCCCCCCCGAAAGACTGCCTGAAAGACTGCCTGGAAAAGTCCTTGCAGTTTTCTTGACAAGATTCTCCCTAGAGATGAGAGAAAGTGACTGGGCCAAGGTCCAGTTGGCTTTGTGCCTAAGGTGGGACTAGAACTCACAGTTCCCCTGATTTCTAGCCTGATTCCTTAATCAGTACACCAAACTGGCTAGCCATCTTCAAATCTTCCATTTCTCAGTGAAGTTAATCAAGAAACAATCTTCTCCATTCTTGCTCCCATCCCCCCACCACACACACCTTAAATAAGTAACCGGGACACTAGGTACAACTTGCTTTGACCGAGGTCACTGCCCTTTTCCATTAGCATTTCCTGGAGAACATTTGGAAATGCCAAGATCCTACCTGGTCTACCATCTCCTTTCCCTTATCTCACATTTCTAATCCCACCAAGAAAAGGCTGAGTGTTGAACATGTGGATGGGCAGAGGGCAACCTCTCATTTTTTTTATCAGCTTCTAATTGAAGATTAGAGGATTTGCTCTGTTTAGAAAGAGAGACTTGCTGAATGCTTGGAAAAGAAAAATAGGTCATTTCTCTCTGTAGGAGAAGACTCAGGAATATTGCTTTCTATCCCTTCTTACTAA